AGCTTGTTCTAAGTAGGTGCTTTAGACCACTGAGCCATCTCACCAGCCCCTGTATACTTTTTTTGGTAGGACAGGATCTTGTTATGTAGTTCAGTCAGGCCATGAACTCACTCTGTAGCCCAGGTAGCCTGGAACTCAGGGTGATTATCCTGCTTTAGCCTCCTGAGTTCTGGGATTACAAGTGTGTACCATCATGCCTCACTAATTTTCTAGTATTCTTAACAGTTTAAGATTTCCATAATGTTCTTCCTCCCATGCACTTTTTTTATTATTGTTATTTTGCACACTGGGAATTGAACTGAAGGCCTTCATACTGAGCTACATCCAAAGCTCTTTATTTTATTAAGTTTATTGGTACAATTTAGATATACCTATACATTCATCCTAAAAAATTTGTACCTATACATGACATATCCTGGTTTCCCCAGCCCTTTATACTTTGAAATAGAGTTCTGCTAAATCTCTAAAGTATTCAAACTGGGCTCAACTTGTGATTTCCCTGCCTCCACCTTGAAGGGTGCTGGGATCTAGGTATGTACCATTTTACCCAGAGTTGATGTTGTTTGTTCGCCTAGGATAATTGCTAACAGTAAAATAGTCCGCAGTGTTACTGCAGTATTTTTATCCTACCCCTCCCCAGGCCTGCTCCCACCGCACACAGCAATGTGGGTTGAAGTCAAAGCCCATGCTATCTTGTGGTTTTTTTTTTTTTTAATTTTTTAAAAATTTTTTATTTATGTATATGTGTGTGGCCAGCTCAGCCCACCAGGGGGCGGGGCTGGCTGGCATGTGGTGCTGGGGGATTGAACCTTGGTCCCTGTGCTTTGCTAAGCTTGTTCTAAGTAGGCGCTTTAGACCACTGAGCCATCTCACCAACCCGATATCTTGTTTGTGAGGGACAGGGTTTCACCAAGTTGCAGTGGCAGGACTCAAACTTTCGATCTTCCTGCCTCTTTCTCCCAGAGTAGTATTGGCATTGCAGGGAGATGGCTCAGTTGAATAAACACTTGCCTGGCAAGTCCAAGGACCTGAGTTCAATCCCCAGTTCTAGGGGGGAAAGATTCAATGTAGTGCTGGTTTTTTCCTTTTCATTATTTTCTGTAGTCTGTGTTCAGGAATTTTATAAGCCATACTAAGAAGTCATTTAATGATAACATTATTGTACACTGCCACATTTGCCTTCTGGTTTCTTTATTACATTTCACATTTGGACAGAGAGTTGAAATAGTAATCGGGTATTTGGAATCTGAGTGTCTGAAGTGTATTTTGGTAACACTGGTATTTGGATTTGAATGGCACAGGATGGGAACCACCTGCTCAGGGCGTTACTGAAATCTGTTTTCTCACGCTGTTAGAGGCTTCGTGACGGAGTGATCCGAGACATTGAGAGGCAAAACCGGAAAAAAGAAAACATTCGTCTTTTGGGCGAGCAGATTATTTTGACTGAGCAACTTCAAGCAGAAAGAGAGAAGATACTGTTGGAAAAAGGATCTCAGAAAACGTGACTTTCAGTGAATGTGAACTATTTCAGGGACAGAGCTCCAAGAAGGTGAATGTGTATGTGTTGATAAAAAAGGGCTTGGTGAGACCTTCACCCTGTTTCTCATCACTGTCCTCTTAGGGTGATGGAATGAGGGACAGTGGACCCAGTGTTCCCGGGTCCTGTTTTAAGAAACCCTGTGTCTGAGAGAGCAGGCACGGAGCTGCTGTGCCGAGCTGGGTGTGGGCGCAAGCACTTCTGCCCCGCAATGATGGAGAGCGGCATCCACCTGAGTGGCCTGCTGAGCCGCCATGATGACGAGGCCACCAGGACATCAACCTCTGAGGGGCTGGAGGAGGGTGAGGTGGAGGGTGAGACCCTCCTCATCGTGGAGTCGGAGGACCAGGCCTCGGTGGACCTGTCGCATGACCAGAGTGGGGACTCCCTCAACAGTGACGAGGGCGATGTGTCGTGGCTAGAGGAGCAGCTGTCCTACTTCTGTGAGAAGTGCCAAAAGTGGATACCAGCCAGTAAGGAGCTTCTCATTCCTTTGATCTGTCAATCCCAGGGTGAAGGTTTGCTCTTCCAACCCATGAAGGAAACGTGAGGGTCCAGTAGACCTAGATGAGTTACTATATTATTAATGTAGTTGATCAAATTCAAACTTCAAAAAATAGATACATTTGTACTGATAAAAATTATTGTCAATCTCTAACCAGTTGTTAAATTAGCATTACTGGTAGTAACCCAACAAAAATTAGAAAATTGGAAATCCTGTGTTACTTAAGGAAATAACCACATTTTTCTTAGCAAGATTATGTTACGGGTTGGGGATCAAATTCTTGTCCCAGTGTAGAAGTAAAACTTAAAACTTACCATGTTCCAGGCTTAGGAGATAGCTCAGTGGCCTAAGTACCTGCCTGACAAACCCAAGGCCCCAAGTTTGCTCTCCAGTACTGCAAAACTTAACAGTGTTTCATCTGGCTTGTGTGGGAAGTGCCGCGGTCTAGGTGTTGAAGGCTTGTCCCAGGTCCAGTCTTGCTCCTGATTCGTGGTCTCCCTTACCTGGTGACAAAAGTTGCTGCTTCTGGAGTTTTAGCTGTCCCTGCCCGGCTCTTGAGCTTGCTTTACCAGCTGTCATGGGATCAGTTGCAACTCAGGCTTTCCCCAGGCAACAGTGGAAAGATGCAAAGATGGCTAAGGGAAGTGCTTTGTGCAAGAGGATTCCTGACTGAAAAATAAGCTGGTAAAATTTTTGTAGTCACTCATTTTATGCAGACATTTTGCTCAAATGTTTTCAACTATGCAGATTAACACTAATAAGAGTAACATTTTTGGCCAGGTGCAGTGCACACCTGTAATCCCAGCTAAGGCAGGAGGATCTCTGTGAGTTTGAGGCCATAGTGAGTTCAAGGTCAGCCTGAACTACATACTGAGACCCTGTCTCAAAAAAAAAGAAAAATAAAGAAATAACATTTTCTCAGAAAACCTGGAACATTCTGCTTAGCTGCTTCTTGTTTCTGAGTTGTCTGTGCCTGATTCTGACAGGTTCTGCCCAGATGTCCCAGTGGCTGTCTCTCTGGCCTCCCCTGGTCAGTGTTAAACTGCCCTTTGTGGCTCATGCCTGCTGACCTCTGTCCCCACACAGACACCAGACCTTGTGAAGGGCAGGTGACCATTCTGCTCCATAGAAGTTCTCTCAGCCTGGGCCTCTGCTCACTTGTATCCTCCCTGAAGCCACATCTCCCTGGCACCTGTGGCCACTCCACACCCTTGCACCCCTCCTCTTCACTGATTGCCACTCCCCCAGGCCCGTCTTTCTCCTCATATCTCCTGTGGGGTGGGTACCTTGCTTTTAGGCCCTCCCTCTGCCCCTTGCACTTCTGGCTGCAGTGCCCACCTTAGGCCTTCTGGTTCTGTCGGGGTGGCCTGAGAGACCGTTTGAGCAGGTTTCAGGTGCCCACAAGCAGGGAGCACAGGGAGGTGTGGCTTGTTTCCTCCTACGTAGCCCTCAGTTTTCAAGTTGTGGCCCTTGCAGCCCCAGTTGTTAGCCCAGAGAAACATGCCAGCATGAGGATTTGGTAGCAGGGATACCCTGTTCTGTGAGCCTCACCTTAAGAGAGGCTTGGCCTTGTACAAAGGAGAACATGGGTGTGGGTGCTAGACAGCCATGCTGAGGAGCTGAGCAGCACTGGGGCAGCAGCTGCTCTTGAGCGGCCTATGACTTAACTTCTGTTTTTCTCCTAGGTCAGCTGAGGGAACAGCTCAGTTACCTTAAGGGTGATAACTTTTTCAGGTTCACTTGTTCTGACTGCTCTGCAGATGGCAAGGAGCAGTATGAGCGGCTGAAGCTGACATGGCAGCAGGTGAGTAGAGGGCTTCAGACTGTGTCTCAGAGCTTTGCTGCGAGGAGCCTGTGGGGAGCTTTTGGGTTGTCTTTGTTTGTTTGAGCCAGGGAATCACTGTGTAGTTCAGGGTGGCTGTGAACTCTCACTAGGTAGCCCAGGCTGGCCTCAAAACTGAATAATCCTCCTGCCTCTGCCTCCCAGGTGCTGGGATTACAGATGTACCTCCACCTGCCAGGTTTGGGTTGTGAGGGGCCCTTTTATTTGTTTTGTTTTTATTTTTTGACACATAAACCAGGCAGGCTTTGAACTCACTTAGGTAGCCCAGGGTGGTGTCCAGCTTGCAGCGATCCTCCTGCCTCAGCCTCCTGAGTGCTAGGAATTATAGGCATGTGCCAGCATGCCTGGCTGGGGGCTTTTCATTTCACAGTGAAAAGAGAATATGGGATATTTGGAGATAGAAGTCTTTGGAAGTTGGGTTGGAGATTCTTAAAAAAAGTCATAGTTTATTAATATGTAATGCCAGGTTCTGATTTTAATTAATTAGTTAATTTTTGCCATGCTGGAGCTTGAACTCAGGGCCTTCACTCTGAGCTATATCCCTAGTCCTATTTTTTCTTTTTAATTGCCCAGGCCAGTCTTAAATGTGGGATCTTCCTGCCTTAGCCACCTAGAAGGCTGGGATTACAGATGTGCACCACCATGGCCAGCTAAATTCTCATTTTAATAGTAAATGAAGTTCGTGTGTTTCACCAGCTACTTTAGAACAGTAAGAACCACATGATGCCACACTGGAACTGAGTGAAGGAAGTGTGTGCAGAATGTGAGAGCTCACATAGCTCAGTCTTCTTTGTTGGAGCTCAGATGTTTGAGTATTTTTTTTTCGAAGAGAATACTTATGTCCACTCTTAAACTGTCTAGTGCCAACACAAGTCTAAACCAACTGAACTCTGAGCAGTAGCTTTCCACTGACTTCTAGGTTGTATTAATATTTTTTTTAAATATTTATTTATTTTTATTTATTACATTTTTTTTTTTATTGTGTGTGTGTGTGTGGCCAGCTCAGCCCACCAGGGGGCGGGTCTGGCTGGCATGTGGTGCTGGGGATCGAACCGCGGTCCCTGTGCTTTGCCAAGCTTGTTTCAAGTAGGTGCTTTAGACCACTGAGCCATCTCTCCAGCCCCAATGTATTAATATTTTTTGCTTTTTAAAAATATCAGTATTTATAGGTAAGCTTGGTATGGTCACTCACACCTGTAATCCCAGCACTGGGGAGGCTGAGGCAGGTGGGTCACTTTGAGTTTGAGGTCAGCCTAGGATACAAAGTAAGACCTTGTCTCAAAATCCAAAACCAAAACCCAATAACATTAACAACAACAAAGCTAGTCTTCAAGTTCTGAAAAAGATGAATTATGCATGATTCATTTGGTTGTTATGGGAATCCAGCCCAGGGCTTGCTAGTGCTAGCTTGCAGCCTCCCTGAGAGATGCCCCTCCCTGGGGTATAGTTACACAGCCATACTAAGTGTCTGTCTCAGTTACTCTTCTCTCGTTGCTGGGACAAATACCTGACACCCAAAATGAAGGAAGGGAAGGTTTTTTTTTTTTTAATATTTTTTTAATAATTTATTTTTATTTATTACATTTATTTATTGTGTGTGTGTGTGGCCAGCTCAGCCCACCAGGGGGCAGGGCTGGCTGGCATGTGGTGCTGGGGGATCGAACCGCGGTCCCTGTGCTTTGCCAAGCTTGCTTCAAGTAGGTGCTTTAGACCACTGAGCCATCTCTCCAGCCCCGAAGGGAAGGTTTTTTTTAGCTCACAGTTACTGGAGGTTTCAGTCCATACTGGCTCCAAGACAGAGCAGCACATGGCAGAGGGCAGCAGTTCATGGCAGTGGCAAAGAGCACAGAGCAAAGGGAGTGGCAGCAGCTCAGGCAGCTAGTGAGCATTTCTCCCCACCTTACATTGTAATGCACATTACTCACCTGAGGGCAGGTGCAACATCCACACCCACAATAATCATAAACTCCAGAAAATGCCCCAGGATTGATTGAGGCTTTAGGGGGACAACTAGACACAAACCGCAACAGCAAGCTTCAAGCCTGTCCTCAGGCAGCTAAAGCTAGACACTTTAGAGACTGGTGCATGTGGTAATTACCCATAGCACATTGTGGGGTTTGTTTGTTTTTTTGGCAGAACTGGGGATTGAACTCAGGCCCTTGTGCTTGCCAGGGAAGCGCTTATTCTACTGAGCCTTCTCCCTGGCCCCTAGCACATTGTGTTTTGAAGAGCACGAATCATTAAAGATTGTAGGTTAGGTACTTCTGGCCACCTATGGTATTCTTCGTAGTGGGTGTAGCAGCCCCTACTCTGACCTTAATTATCAGTGCTTTATTAGGCCAATTAGGAAATCTGTCAGTGAGGAACATAGGAAACTTTTTTTTTTTTTTTTTTTTTTTGTGGCAGAACCTGGGATTGAACTCAGGCCCTTGCTCTTGCCAGGGAAGTACTTATTCCACTGAACCATCTCCCTGGCCCCTAGAAAATGTTTTTTGACTTGCCAGGAAAATATAGGTAGAGCCAGGGGTGGAGGTGCACACCTATAATCACAGCACTCTGGGAGGTGAGGCAGAAGGATCACCTTGATTTCAAGGCCAGCCTGAATTGTGCAACAAGACCCTGTCTCAAAAAGACCAGAAAAAAGAGACTAAGGAATGACTTTTTTTTTTTTTTTAGTCTGTATTCCTTTTTTTGGCTCTGGGAATTAAACTCAGGATCTTGCACCTGCCAGCCAGGCACTTAAGCCTGAGCTGTCTCCCCAGCCCGACTCCTTTAGATTGTGGTGTGACACCCATGAGCTGTACCACTACTCAGTGTGTAGCTGGGCGGTGTTCTGTGTGATGTACGTGACCGCCGCTGGCCAGTTCCAGGCTTCTCTGTCCCTAGCTGAGTTTCACCTGTATTAGGCCACATTCGTTGGCCAGTGTGGATCTCAGCGGTGCTTTTGAGAACTCTGGTCATGGGACTGATCCTGTTGTTGGGTTAAGGGTGGTGAATGGACTCATGCAGTGTAGACCCAGCCCTTCACAGAGGGTCGCTGGGGATTGAACACTGGTGACACAGATGGCAGGGCATTAAGTCAGCTTAATAAAGCTTACTTAAAGCTGAAGGGTGGTCCTTGAAAGAAGTTGTTTTTAAAGAATTGTCTTATAAGCTGGACATGGTGGTGCACACCTGTGATCCCAGCATTCGGAGGCTGAGGTGGGAGGATCACAAGTTCAAATCCAACTTGGGAAACTTGCCAACATAGTGAGATCCTATCTCAGGATAAAAATTTAGGGTCAGGGAGATACCTTAGTGGCATAAGAACCTGCCTGGCAAGCACAGGTTCTGAGTTCAATCCTTGGAACAAAATAAATAGTCCTGGGGTTGTAGCTCAGTCCAAAGGCTCTAGCTTCAATCCCAATGCCCAGGTCAGGGACATAGCTCAGCAGCATAAGTGTCAGCCTGGCAAGCACAAAGTCCTGAGTTTGATTCCCGGTACCAAACAAACAAATAATCTTGGTGCCCAAAACAAAACAAAGCCCCCTCCTCCCAAAGAAATCCCCCCCCCAAAAAAAACTACATAAATACAGATGGAAAGAAATGTATGAAAAATGTATGTACTTTTTTTTTTTTTTAATGACAGAGTCTACAGGATCTACAGGGTCTCACTGCATAGATCAGACTTGTAATGATCCTCCTGTTTACAGCCTCCCAAGTGCTGGGATTATAGGCACGCACCACCACACTCATTCTCAGTGGCCATCTCAGCACGTCCCAGGGGCAGGGCCAGCACAGCAGACCTGGGGATGGAACTCCCAGCAGGCCCCTGTGTCTGCCTAAGCAGGTGCTTTAATCCACTGAGCTATTTGGCTGGCCTAAAAGGATAATTACTAAAATGTCAAAAGTTTTTTTTTTTTTTTTTGCTTTTTTATTGTTGTTCTTTTTGAGACAGGGTCTTGCTATGTAGTTCATGCTGGCCTTGAGCTCACTTTGTAGCCCAGGCTAGTCTTGAATTCACATTTGTCCTCCTGCTTCAGCCTCCTGAGTGCTGGGATTACAGAGGTGTGCTACCATGCCTGGCTCTGCTTGCTTGCCTGTGCTCACTTGCTCGCTCACGCTCTCGCTCTCTCTCGTTGTCTCTCTCTCTCTCTCTCTCGCTCTCGCTCTCGCTCTCGCTCTCGCTCTCTCTCGCTCTCTCTCGCTCTCTCTCGCTCTCTCTCGCTCTCTCGCTCTCTCTCGCTCTCTCTCGCTCTCGCTCTCTCTCTTTCTCACTCATGCTCTCTATCCCTCTCCCCCTTCTTCCTTCCTTCCTTCCTTCCTTCCTTCCTTCCTTCCTTCCTTTCTTCCTTTCTTCCTTTCTTCCTTTCTTCCTTTCTTCCTACTTCTGCTGTTCCTTCTCCTTTTGCTTCTTCTCCTTATCTTCTTTCTTCCTGTGTGTGCTGCTTCTCCTTCTGGTCCTAGGGCTTGAATCCAGGGCTTTTGCGTGAAGCTACATCCCCAACTCACTTTATTTCTTTATTTTGAAACAAGGTCTTGCTTAAGTCACTGGGTTACCCAGGCTGCACTAAAACTTGCCCTCCTCCTGCCTCAGCTCCCAGGGTGCTGGGATTATAGGTGTGCGCTACCACACCCAGCAAAAGTTATTTTTTGATGATGGATGTAAAGTGATTTTTACTTCCTCCTTTGTTATTTTTGTGATTTTAGAGTCTTTTACAATGAACTTGTGTTATTTCTATTTCTGGAAATCTCTTCCCTGATTAGGGCTGTGAACGCTGCCTTACAAAGAGTAGCAGTGGGGTGGGGAGACAGCTCAGCGGTCTAATGCCATGGCAGCCCTGGAACCGCAGGCACACTGTGCTGGCCACCGAAACCAGGTGTGGTGGCCCATGTCTGTCATCCCAGCGCTGGGGAGGCTGAGACAGGAGGATCACTATGAGACCAAGCTGTGTGATGAGACCCTGTATCAAATAAATAAAAGATTAAAAATAATAAAAATGAAGAGTAGCAGTGCTAGCCAGGTTGGGAGCTGGAGCAGCCCAGCCTTCCATCCCGTGTGCACAGGTGAATCTCACAACCCTGAGCAGAGGGTGGGCAGCGCTGTCAGCGAGAGGGTACAGGATGGGGCGGGGGGCACACCTGGCCGCTGTGGGGGCTGGGGAGGGCAAACACGCCTGTGTCCACCCTCTGTCCTAACGTCCCTCAGCCACACAGCAGGCCTCTGTAGGAGACAGAGGGACTGTCTGGAGCTGAGTGAGAGATGCCAGCTCACCAGCCTAGCAGGGGGAGAACTGTGGACCCAGACACCCTGGGCTGTGTCTCCTAGCCCTGTCCTGTCTGTGTTGCAGGTCGTCATGTTGGCCATGTACAACTTGTCCCTGGAAGGCAGCGGGCGGCAGGGCTACTTCCGGTGGAAAGAGGATATCTGTGCCTTCATCGAGAAACACTGGGCCTTCCTGCTGGGAAGCAGGTAGTGTGGTCTGCAGAGCCGACTTGGCCAGCAGAGGAGAGCTGCAGGGCTGCTTTCCTTGGGGCAGTCACAGAGAAGCTTGAGTCCTAGGATTTTTTTTTTTTTTTTTTAACTTTTTTTGTTTGTTTGGTTTGGTTTTATATTTTGAGACATGTTCTCACTGTGTAGCTCCGGCTGGTCTTGAATTCACTCTAACCCAGGCTGGCCTCAAACTTAAAGTGATCCTCTTGTCTTCTGAGTGCTGGGATTATAGGCGTGCGCTACCACACCCTGCTTCCATAGTTTTCTACTTGCAAAGGAAAGTATTGTTTTTTGTTTTTTTCTTTCCTGAGCATGATGGTTTTGCTTTTCTTTTTCTTTCTTTTTTTTTTTAAATTGTCGTTTTGAGACAAGGTTTCAGTATGCAGTACTGCCACACACTGCCATGCCTAGTCACATCATGTTTTTGAAGAGTTATGACTGTTAAAAATTGAGGAGTATTACAGGGATTTGTTGGTTTGGGGACTGGGCGGGGCAGGGGAGAGGATTTAGAAAACAAAGACAAGAAGCAATAGCTGGGGTCAGGTGGTGCTCCATTGCCTGACTGGCAAAGGACCCAAAAAACTACAAGGGTGTTTGTTTATACTTTTAGGTATAAAGGTATGCCATGCCACTGAGCTACATCTCCCCTGCTCCCTTTTTTTTATTGTCTTTTTGAGAGAGAGAGTCTCACTATGTGGCTCAGGCTGGTCTTGAGCTTTCAGAGATCCTCATGCCTCAGTCTCCTGAGTGTTGGGATTACAGGTGTGTACCCCCCCCCCTTTTTTTTTTTTTTTGCGGAACCAGGGATTGAACTCAGGCCCTTGCCAGGGAAGCGCTTATTTCACTGAGCCATCTCCCCAGCCCCACACCCCCTTTTTTTGAGACAGGTTCTCCTTAAGCTGTTCAGGCTGGCTTTTGCAGTACTGTTTAGTGTGCTGCTGCAAGCCTGTAATCTGTGATCCCACCATTTAGGAGGTTGAGGCAGGAGGGTGACTGAGACTGAGGCCAGCCTGGGTTACGTAGTGAGACCTTGTCTCCAAAGAGCAAACCAAAACCAAACTGAAATGCCTAGTCTTGGAGTGCAGTTTCTTGGGGGTGGGGGTGATAAGGGAGAGCCCCAGAAGGTAACTGAACCCCAGGTCACCCCCTCAGGGGGGCAGGCAGGATAATAGGAGGCAACAAATGTGCTTTGCCTCAATTACTTCCTCTCCCAGCCCTGTGTGGTAAGCTCTGCCACCCTGCCTCTGCAAATGAAACCGAGACAGAGCCAGGATTCCAAGCCAGGCACACCCGAGGCTCCTCTCGTGGCCCTTTCTCTACGTCCCTTAGTGCTCAGGGTTGCATGGCTCCTGCTTGTGTGTCCGCACAGAGGTGGATTGAGCATCAACTGCTTTTCCTTGGGCTCCAGGAAGAAGACCTCCACTTGGTGGAGCACTGTGGCTGGCTGCCTGAGCGTGGGAAGCCCCATGTACTTCCGCTCCGGGGCGCAGGAGTTTGGGGAGCCAGGCTGGTGGAGACTGGTGCACAACAAGCCACCCACCCTGAAGCCTGAAGGGGAGAAGCTGTCCAGCTCCTCGCTGAAGGCCAGAGGTAGTGTTGGGTGCGGCATGGGGATGCTGGGCAGGTGGAGTGGGAGCGCAGGCCTGCCGTCCCAGAGCCAGTCCCCCTGACAAAGGTAGTGTCCTGGTGACATTTGACTGGGTGTGGCTTTTCCTTTAGATGCCTTTCTTGTGGATTCTACAGCTGGCTTGTCACGGACGGAGTAAGCTTGGGCATTGTCAATCGAAGTCTTCATTTTGCTTTTTTTTAGTACAGGGTCTCACTGTGTAGATGGACTTGTAGCAATCCGCCTGTGTTTAGCCTCCCAAGAGCTGGGATTATGGGCACATGCCACCACACCCAGTCTCAGACACCATCTCAGCTGCTCTGGGGGTGGGGCAGGCATAGCACACTGGGGATTGAATCTCAGCGTGCATCAGCCTAAGCAGGCGCTTTAATCTGCTGAGCTATTTGGCTGGCCCTTTCATTTTGCTTTTGTTACGGCTGCTGGTTTGCCGGAGTGTAGTGGTTTGGTTTCATGTTTGGACCACCAAAACTGGGACTTCTGAGCTGTGGAGTGAGTTCCAAAGTGGCTGGGTTTCGGAAAGACATCAGCCATTGGGGAAACTAGAATAGTCTTGAGTCTGTGGGGCTCTGATCTTCTGGGATGCCTGTTCATCTTACCCAGCCTCCTTGTTCCTCATGGGTTGGTAATTTCTTTCTTTCTTTCTTTCTTTCTTTTTTGCGGTACTGGAGATTGAACGCAGGACCCTGTGCTTGCCAGGCAAGAGCTTATTTTACTGAGCTACCTCCCCAGCCCCTGGATCGGTAGTTTTGAGACAGGAGCTTTCTATATAACCCAGGCTGGTCTTGAACTCACAGTCCAGGGCTGTGATTGTAGGCTCATGCCACCACACTGGCCAGTGTGAACCTTAACCAGTTCCAGTAGGTAAAAGGTAGCAGTATTTAGCTGTTTAAATTTGCTTTGTTTTCTCTCTCTCTCTCTCTCCCTCCCTTTCCCCCCCCTCTCCCTTTCTTCATCTTTCCCTCTCTCCCTCTTCCTCCCTTGCTCCCTTGCTCTCTCCCTCCCTCTTTCTCTCTCTCAAAGTGTCTCACTACGCAGGTCAGACTCATACCTCCTGTCTTGGTGGCCAGCTCAGGGTGGGCATGGCATGTGGTACCTGGGATGAAACCCGAGTCTTTGCACTTTCCAGGGAGGCCCTTAAACCACTGAGCTATCTCCTGGTCCTATAACTTTTTTCTAAAGAGAAGTCTAAGTCCTTTAGGGCGCTTATAGGGTATTTCTCTATACAGAACCCTGTGTGGGTGCACAGTAGCACACTGTGGATGACAGTGACATTACAGTGGAATGGTTATCTCAGAAGTTGTCCCTGTGTGCTCTCTGGCAGCCTCGAAGCCCATGTTGGATCCCATCATCACTGTGGAGGGACTCCGGAAGCGGGCCAGCCGGAACCCTGTGGAGTCCGCCATGGAGCTTAAGGAGAAGCGGTCTCGCACGCAGGAGGCCAAGGACATCCGGAGGGCCCAGAAGGAGGCAGCTGGTTTTCTGGATCGGAGCCCAGCCTCTACACCAGTCAAATTTGCCAGTCGGGCCCGCCGGCCAGAAGTAGTCCTGGAGAGGGGCGAGGTGATCGATTTTGCATCCTTAAGCTCCTCAGACCGTACTCCTCTGACCAGCCCCTCACCGTCTCCCTCGCTAGACTTCTCAGCACCTGGGACACCAGCATCACACTCAGCCACACCGAGCCTGCTGTCGGAGGCCGACCTGATCCCTGATGCCATGCCCCCGCAGGCACTCTTCCATGGTAAGGGGGCTGCCATCAGCTCTTCCGGGTCGGGGGTGTCCTTGGGCCTTGGTAACACTGCCCATGCCCTGTGCAGATGATGATGAGCTGGATGGTGACATTGACCCGGGAGTGGAGGACCCACCGCCGTCCTTGGGGCCTGCAGCTTTGGGCCCAGGGGCTGGAGGCAGGAAGAAGGTCAGAGCCCCCGAACACATCAAACAGGAGGTGGACAGTGAGGAGGAGAAGCCGGACAGGGCAGATTTGGACAGTGAGGACACAGACTCCAGTGCGTCCCTGCAGACCCGGGCACGGGATAAGCGGAGGCCACCCCTACAGAAGGACATGCGGCCACAGGGGCCCCGGTACACACCCGCCAGCATCTATGAGGAGAAGCTGCTGCTGCGCAGGCTGGAGGCCTGTCCTGGCGCTGTGGCCATGACGCCTGAGGCGCGCAGGCTAAAGCGCAAGCTAATTGTCAGGCAGGCCAAGAGGGAGCGGGGGCTGCCCCTCTTTGACCTGGACCAGGTGGTTAATGCTGCCCTCCTGCTTGTGGATGGGATCTATGGAGCCAAGGAAGGGGGACTGCCCCGGCTTCCGTCTGGACAGGCCACTTACCGGACCACCTGCCCAGACTTCAGAATCCTGGACCGATATCAGGTGAGTGACCACGGGCAGTGTGGTAGGACAGGCAGTGCGCAGTGGGTGCTATTATGCTGAGACTACTGAAGTTGTAACTGGGTTTGGTGGCCCACACTTGTAGTGCCAGCATTCAGGAGGCTGAAGCAGGAGGATCCTTTTGAGTTTGAGGCCATCCTGGGTAATATAGTGATTTCAAGGTTAGCCTGAATTGCATAGCAAGATCCTATCTCAAAAAATCAAAATAAATAGAACAAAAGTCATGAGTAGTTTTTGGAGAGAGAAGAAAACAGCAAGGGAGAATAATGTGAATATTTCTAGTCTTTGTGTTTCAAAACTGTTCAATATAAATACCTTTCAATATAGCTGAGCTTTTCTTTTCCATCGGACATTCAAGATATAACCTAGAAAACCACAAATGAAATACACTGGGGGAGATAGCTCAGTAGAATAAGCACTTCCCTAGCAAGTGCAAGGGCCTGAGTTCAAACCCCAATTCTGCAAAAAAAAAAAAAAAAAAAAAAAAAAAAAAAAAAAAAAAATACACTGGGGGAAATTGTATTTATTTGAGCACATATGAGCTTTTTTTCCTCTTATTCCCTAAGCTGTGACTGTGCGTCCTTTAGCTTGCCAGGCCAAACTAAAGAGGAGGAATTGGCGGCATGTAAAACATGTAATATAATTACTGTATAGAAGTAACAAAGCTTTTTAAATTTTTTATTTATAATATCAAAAAAGGGCACCATGCACTGTATAGTGGGGGCACCATGCCACCCACAGTCTGCACTCCAGGCCACATGACAAGCCATGAACGAGAATTCTCCCAGCCTGCTGAGAACCCTGGAGGCTATTCCAGGTTTGTCACCATCTGCCGATGCTGGGCCGGCCTGCCCTAGGCAGTGGAACATTTAGTTGCATGTAGCGTTGGAAGTAAGTTTGCCATGATCTGAAGTGCATGGCAGGTTGTGCTAGGCAGGTTCGATCCGTCTACTCCAGGAGACTTGTGCACTGGCAGCTTTGATGTCCTCAGGAGGGAAGCTGCCTCCTGGAGTTAGAGCAGAGCCGCCCTTTGCTCTGGTGGTCCAGGAAATGGATGCGGTCATGTTCTGAGTCACCTGCTGCCAGCCTTCCTGGGCAGGTCAGTGACAAGGTCATGTGAGTCACGGGGCTGAGCATCAGGCACCAGGAAACATGCAGAAGTCTGGGCAGTAGGACAGGACCCTTTGCAGTCCTGCTGGAGCACCCATGGTGGCCCTGTCACTGTGGCTGGCTGGGGAGCTGACTGAGACGTGGATGCCATCTGGCTAGGGTGTCCTCTGGGGTTATGGGGCATGGTCAGTATGACCTCAGCCCAGACACAATTCTGGGCCCACCCTCTGTGGGCTTAAAATGTGGTCAGGGGCTGGGTGAGCTGGCACACACCAGTAGTCCCAGCACTCAGGAGGCTGAAGCAGGAACATTACCATGAGTTTGAGGCCAGCTTGGGCTATATATATAGCGAGATCCTGTCTCAGGAAACTAAAAGGTAAAGGAAAAAACAGACTGATGAGGGCTGGGAGATGGCTCAGTGGAATGAGCGCTTCCCTGGCAAGCGCAAGGGCCTGAGCTCAATCCCTGATTCCGCCAAAAAAAAAAACCAAAACAGACTGATGGGGCATCAGGGATTTTGTGATGATAGCCTTTGACTCACCCTTATCCCTACTGTGCTGCTCACACTGTGCCTGAGGTTCAGTGGTCGCCCTGGCCCTCCTGTCACCTCCCGTGTTTGAGCTGCTCTTCCTGGGGTCTGCCTTCGCCTGCCCAGGAATCTTCCCTGGCTTTCATGGGGCGGTGACTCCCCAAGGGGAGCTTGCAGGATGAGGTGGGCCAGCCTTGGAAAGCACTGTGTGAAGCCAGCAGCAGTGCTAGCAAAGCCCAGCAGGGCAGCGGCCCCACAAATTGGGGGGCCTCTTGCCCCCTTGGTGGCCAGATACTGTCCCAGGAAGAGTGACCTCAGCAGGGACCTCTGCACTGCTCAAGAGCCATGTGATGCCTTACTGGAGGTGCCAAGAGGGCTTGGCCACCTGCCCCAGTGCCCCACACAGGAGTCTGCAGTGTGGACAGGCTGGCTTACACTAGGCCAGGGCCCTCCGGCTTGGGGTAAATTGATCACCGTTGTTTCTTCTCTGGATCTCATGTGCTTACCTAAGTCTGTTCCTGTAGTTGCAGTGGGGCTTTGCAAAGTGCTAAGATGTGGAGCGTGTTTCCATTTCCTATTCTCTGCCTCCCCCTGCCTTCTGTGGGAGCTGTCGGTTACCCAGGGTGCTTCAGAACTGCCTGCAAAGATTTGTAGGTGTTCACAGCTTATCTTCCCTATCAGGGCTGTGACTTAGGACTTTTGAAATGTTGTGATTTAATTGCTGGTCAGAATTGTTTTTTTTTTTTTTTTGTGGAACCGGGGATTGAACTCAGGCCTAAGCATGTGCTTAGTTTGCTGAGCTATCTCACAAACCCAGAAAATGACAGGTTAAATTCTGACTAGCAGGCCAGGGAGATGGCTCAGTAGAATAAGTGCTTCCCTGGCAAGCACAGGGACCTGGGTTCGATCCCCAGCACCACAGGCAGTGCTGGCCCTGGTCCCTGGGCTCACTGATCTGGCCACCGAGACTGGGTGTGGTGGTACATGCCTGTAATCCCAGCTCTGGGGAGGCTGAAAACAGGAGGATCGACTATGAGTCTGAGCTGCATAGTGAGACCCTGTACCAAATACATAAAAAATAATAATTTAACCTGTCATTTTTCTTATTATTGCTTTAAACCAAGATTTAATGCCTTGATATCAAGTCTGCATCTTGTACAGCAGTTAACCACTAGGAAGAATGTATGTAATATGTTAATTTTTGAAACTGTCCTACCGATTTGGTTTGAAACTGTCTCATTGCTATTTGTTTCTCAATAAAATTATGGAAAAAATAAAAAAAGGAAAAAAAGATTTAATGCCTTTTTAAAATTTTAGTATTTTGGGTATGTGAAGATTTTAAGATAACTTGGTAATTGGTTTAACCCTTTTTGAGACATCTTTGTATTGCAGGCAGGCCCTGGACTCACTATGTGTATATATAGCAAGACTTTGTTTCAGAAAACCAAAATAAGTGCCCCTTGTTGGCATTGTCTCCTTTGCCCATTAGCACACTTAACCTGTGAGTTGTGGTTACCTTATATTCCTGGTCCAGTCATTTCACCATCTCTGCTGCTTCTGAGTCTGAATGTAATTCTGAGGCTTGTTCTGTTTCTTCAAACTGAATTTATAAAAAGGAGGCGTGAAGCACTTTAGTAGGCAGAAGTGAAAGCACTCACGCTTGGTAGGCAGCATGTGGGGAGTGAGGAGTGAAGGGGTGTGTGCATGCATGCATGTGTGCCTGGGCTGTTTCTGCCGCAGCCTAGGCCCAGTCACTGGAAGCCTGTGGGCTGTGTGGTGTGGGGCTGGACGCTTGGTCCCCCGGCCGGGGTCTTTTGGGGGCCTGTTGCTGCTTCTCCCACTCAGGCAGTTAGGTGAAAGGGTAGACAGGGGCAGGAGGGGGGCTTCCTTTCCTGAGGGCAGTGGCTCTGAGGGAAGCATTTCCCAAGGACTGAGGACCAGCAAGGGCTCCCTCCTGCCTGAGCTGGTTCTGTCCCCTCCCCTGCTGGAAGGACCCTGGGATAAGACGGTGTCACTCTGTGACCTTGTGCAAGGTGTGGGGCTACCTGACAGGGACCTGCACCTGCCCGTGGTGGAGAGCCAGTTGCCAGTTGCCAGTGACAGCTCAAGTGCTCAGCGGGCCAGGCGGGAACTGGTTCTGCTGGTTTTCCAGTGGGTGCCTTTCTTTCTAGTCTGTCTTTCCATTCAGGTTCAGGTTGAAGAAGATACATTGCCTTTTACAGTTTGGTCAGCTTTTTATTTATTTATTT